GTTTCTGCAGGTCTCACTGGAAGGAGATGGTACAGCGGTTCACCCTGAACAACCGCTATCTGGGTCGTATGGTGAAGCTTGTGTGCACGCAGTTTACCTCTCCCAGTCAACTACAAGAGGTAAATAACTCCAATGCTCTCGCTGCTACAAACACAAGTGATAGATTAAAGACCTGTAGCACCTGGTTGTATATCTAAGTCAGCAAACAAGCAATCAGTAGGGCAGAGTAAGAGCAAGGTAAAGACAGCAGGAGTAGACCTCTTTAACCATGTATTCTTTTGCTACTTATTTATGATATTTACAATGTTAGCATATAAGGTATCAGAGTCTGTTACAGAGCAACCAAGAGCCACTCAAGACATGAGTGGATACGACCAGTGTCTGCGGAAGTCTGCCACCTAGCCAGGTGGACAGGAGTGACCTTACTTGGTTGTAGTAGCCGGCTTCCACATGACTGGCGGATTTTCTGTTCTGTTCTAGATTCGCCGGCATAATCGCCCGGCCCAGACCTTTTCCAAGAGGTGGCCCGGCCTTGGCTCCCTTTCGCGGGAGTGTCTCAGACTAATGTCTGCCATGGGAGGAGGTACAAGTAGTTCCTCGTCTACTGGGATCAGCTGTCCCCAGGCCTAGCCCCATTCCCAGCCCCCACGGAGCTGAGAGGAAGAATCTAGGCACCTTGGGCTGCCACAAACCCTGCCCACACTGTGCTCGAAGGGTGTGGCAGCTGGGTAACAGGAGACGTTGTCAGGAGGTGAAAAGGCAGCAAGCACTACAGGATCCTTTTCAAGCCACATCCCAGTTTTGGACCGAAGCCCGAGCGCTGGGGATGCTCAAGAATGCCTCTTGCTGTGAGTGTTGCTGATGCTACTTCACTTGTCCGTTACACTCTGCTGGCTGATTGAACTGGACAGTAAGCACAGAACTGCTATGCTCTGAACTGCCAGTTCACTGGTCGAGAGTGCATGCCAAATGGTTATGTGACGAACATCGAGTAAAATTTAATATACTCCGCACACACCACAACCGTAAAATAATTAAAGCACTATGACACACTAAAAAGCTCTTGCTGTAGAGAAGGTGGGTTGTACATGACTTGATATTGATAATGCAATGACTATCATAAGAAAACAAAGCTCGAAATTTAGACGAATTATTTAGCAGCATACAAAGGCTACAATTCTTATTATTATTACAGTCATAACTAAATGCTAAACCTAAAAGGGTCATACAGACTGGAACTCTTGAAGGTGTTGATCTACAGCTGCTGGAACTCTTGAAGGTGTTGATCTACAGCTGCTGGAACTCTTGAAGGTGTTGATTTACAGCTGCTGGAGCTCTTGAAGGTGTTGATCTACAGCTGCTGGAACTCTTGAAGGTGTTGATCTACAGCTGCTGGAGCTCTTGAAGGTGTTGATTTACAGCTGCTGGAACTCTTGAAGGTGTTGATCTACAGCTGCTGGAGCTCTTGAAGGTGTTGATCTACAGCTGCTAAAGCTGTTGAAGGTGTTGATCTACAGCTGCTGGAACTCTTGAAGGTTTTGATCTACAGCTGCTGGAACTCTTGAAGGTGTTGATCTACAGCTGCTGGAACTCTTGAAGGTGTTGATCTACAGCTGCTGGAACTCTTGAAGGTGTTGATCTACAGCTGCTGGAACTCTTGAAGGTGTTGATCTACAGCTGCTGGAGCTCTTGAAGGCGTTGATCTACAGCTGCTAAAGCTTTAAAATGTGTTGATCTACAACTACTAATCCTTTAGATGTTGATCTGTAAGTTCTGAGCCGCTTGATTTACCTCTCCTTGGCCTTTTTAATTTTTTTTGGTCTAAATATCCTGTGCTTCTTGATGGAATTGAGTTTCAGCTCCCGGGCTCTTTGAGAGTAGATTACGGGAGATAGGTTTTAGCTCAATACTTTCCTGAATCTCTTGGGACGAGGATTGTATTATGGATTCCACGTCTGGCCGGGTCACCATCTGGAGAAGACCCGGGCCGGCAGTACCGGCGAATCTACAACATTCCACGTCTCTTTAGGGCGTTAAGCTGCAGCTCTTCTGCCTCTTGAGAGTCCTGAGGTACAACTATTATAAACTTTGTGTTGAGGTACAAATGGGGTTGGTGCTGTGTGATCCGGGGATATTTTTCTGAGATCGTGCAGTAATGGAAGTATTTCTACTGGTTGATCTCCCTTTTTTCTCTAGATCCGGATATTTATAATTAATCACTTCTTGTCTTCGAATATTAAATTAAAGATAATGTTATAGATATTTTTAAAACGCTTGTTTTTGCTCTCCCAGTTACTTCAGCATCATGGAAGTGTTATATTTTGTTCTTCACTAATAATGTTCACCTACTCATGCATAGTCACAAAATATTAGCAAAAAGCCTATTAAAACAGTATATTTATTTCTGTTGCATCTAATACTGGAGTGCCATGCTCTCTCACTTCTCCATGTTACAACTGTTAAGTTAAACAAACTTCAGTGTGATTACTTTCGAGCACCTGAAATACAGTGGTTGAAATGAAAGGAATTATCTTTTGGAATGGAGATAATTTTTCTTTCTTCTTTCCTAGCAATGTTGAGTTGGTGAAATTGTTCTCCTATTTCAGAGTATTGGAGATGCCCCTCCATGTCTCATAAAGACATTTGTGCACACTAAAAAAAAGAAAAAAAAGTCCTCTGTGAGTTTTGTCAATCCATGAACTACGTTCGACAGATACATAAAATGTATATCATTCAGCCGATATACAAATGCCATTTTCCTGGCCTTTCTTTCCTAAGATCAAACCTGGTTATCTAACATTCCCCAGGCATTGCATGACCCCTTTTGTTTTAGGGCTTCCTCAAGAATGTAAGTAAAACTAACTCTCTTCTTTTCGTCTCCAACAGATGAAAGACTTCTTCCAACAATATCCGAACGCTGGGTCAGGAGCTCGCTCGCGCCAGCAAGCTCTGGAAGAGGTGGAGGGCAACATCAAGTGGATAGAGCAGCATGGCGAGTCTCTCAACCGGTGGTTCCTCGGGCAAAATGCTGTCTTGTAATGGGAAAATGTTTGAATGAGTGGGAAATTTGGCTGACTAGATACTTCTAGAAATACCATACACCAGGGACGAAGGATGTCTTGGTACTCCCGCATACCTGAAAATCTCCAGATAATTAAAACCCATTTAAACCATCAGAAACCTCTTAGAGAACCTGAAACTTAATAGGTATTATCTTCCAGGGAGTTAGAAACTGTCTGCATAAGCAGAAAATATTTAAAAAATAATATATATATTTTAGAAAGCTAGAAAATGTTTATATTAAAAAAATGTACAAATACTTTAACGTTAGAAATGCAATCCATGTCATAGGATGCTCATAATTTTTTACTTTTTAGACTATTGGAATTCACTTTCAGGTTAGTAACATTAGAAGAATAGACAGCCCCCCCCCAATACAAAAAAAATACAGAAAATTTGAGAAATTTAAACTCTCTAGAAACTTGATACTCTGCAAATTTTTCACTTAAACAATTGTTAGGTCCTCGTAGAGCAGTCAGATGGGAAACTCTTGAAAGAACGGAAAATTCATTGATAGCAATACTAACTTCTACTGAAATTTAAAACTTTGCAAAAACGAGAGCTTCAAAACCTAAGAAATTTACTCAGAAAGAGTTTTGTTTGAAGATTTATAATTAAAGAAGTTGTTGTAAATACTATTTAAGAAGGAAATTCCTAAACTAAAGTAAATTGGAACAATATTAAATGAAAACATTTCACAAATATCACTTCTGTTGTTTCCTCATAGCCTAGATAGCTTACGTAAGACATTTCTTAAACCTGGGACTACACTGCTGTTTCCTGGGACTACACTGCTGTTACCTGGGACTACACTGCTGTTACCTGGGACTACACTGCTGTTACCTGGGACTACACTGCTGTTACCTGGGACTACACTGCTGTTACCTGGGACTACACTGCTGTTACCTGGGACTACACTGCTGTTACCTGGGACTACACTGCTGTTACCTGGGAAACTATACAAGTATATATGAATCTATGAGTAAATATCCCAGGCATGCAAAACAACAACAAAGGGGGGGGATTAAGTTAAATGATATTTTTAGGCCTTTCGTGTTGCAATCAACACATCAGGAGCCTGCAATGTTGCAGAAAAGAGGAGGAGGTCCAAGCAGATACGATTACAGGGAACGCATTTGCTGTGCAGCAAAGGAGTTCAATATGATCGTATCTGCTTGGACCTCCTCCTCTTTTCTGCAACATTGCAGGCTCCTGATGTGTTGATTGCAACAAAAGGCCTAAAGCTATCATTCAACTCCCACAGTAGTTGTTTTTCATCTTGTATCACCTGTTCGTGATCTTTGCATCCTACATATATTCGTGATAATGTACCTGTGTTGTTAATACACGAACTAACTTAAAAGAGATAATATAACAGCAACACAAGAGGACCCATAAAACCGATAACGTCTAAACAATAGATTTCATTAGTTTCAGTTATTCTTGTATATTTTTAGTGTAAATAAAATATTTCTAAAATTTAAAGATTTATTTAATAAATGATAATTTTTTTTTCACATCTGTCAAGTGTGTCATCAAATTTTTATAGAGTATGTGTGTGCGTGTATGAGTATTATATATACATTATATCGGCGAGTTAGGCATAACTAAAAGTCTGTTTTTTCCTGCCGAATAAGTAGTGAAATTTTTTTTCCTTCAATCTGTGAAAATGAATCTTAACATAACGAAAAATATATAAATCACTGATTTTAAAAACATTAAATAAATTTAAAGTGACTTTATATATATATAATATATATATATATATATATATATATATATAATATATATATATATATATATATATATATTATATATATATAATATATATATATATATATATATATATATATATAAACGAGCTCTTACATTTATTTTAAAAATGACTATATACATTATGCTGTCACACTTTCTTCAGATTGCAATGAATGTTGTTTAAATAACTTAGATATTGTATACAAGATGGATTCAACTTAGAAGTGCCTCATGAACTTTAAACTTATAATTTTGAGGAATATTGCCATGACTGACTTAGTTTCACGAGTAATGTTTATAATTCTTTCTATGTAGCAGATGTTATATTGTTGTTTCTTAACTGGTCGCCCTATTGTTACCTCCACAAATTATTTTTAGCTTTTACGAGTGTTATTGCTGAACACAAAATAAGTGACAGGACGGCTGATAAAGTTGCAACTTCAGTCGTTGCACTCATAGGTAAAATAACTTATCCCTAATACTTACATGTTGTCGCCCTCTGAAATGGCAAGTTACTACTCCATATTACTGGCAATATAATTTGTCGTATTCCTATTTATGTACCGAGTTTAGAATCTTTCAGTGCCAAAGTTGGGCAGTTGTACCAGTGCTACAGGAGCTGAAGCTGTTTAGGTAATTGTCAAAGATTTCGAAATCGAAGAGCTGGTTTGTGACACGGCATTTGATACCACTTCAGCAAATACTGTTCCAAATCTGGAATTTGTGTTCGCTTACAACAAAATAGGCAAGAGATACTACTCTCTTGTCACTATCATATATACCAACTTATCCTTCATAAAGTCTTCACGTTCTCACCTTTAGTACGTATATTCAAATCCGGACAGTAATTTCTTATACTTTCATAGTAAATGTCAAAAACCAGTTTCGGACAGCAGTGAATGAAGAAAAATTAAAATGTATAGTCCCAGAGAGCATTAAATAAATTTTCTGCACTTTTTCCAGCAGAATATCGAAGTACTTTAACCCAGGACAGCTTACTTAGAGCCGATCACCCTCACTATCTTTGTGTGGTGTTCCTTCTGTTGGAACTCATTATCGAGTAACAGTAGGACTGCACAGTGACCGTCCATGGCACGTTTAGCTCACACCCTAAAAAGAAGCATTTTTATTTAAGCATTAAAAAATGCTAAGCTGTTTAACATTATTACGAAAAAGCTTCGTGAAATCCCTAACTAAAGCATCACGGACGGCGATATTTGAGCATTGATTTTAACGCCAGAAATAGACTGATAATGTTAAATTTTTAAACTAGCTAAACATGTTGCTTATAGTGTCATGCAGATAATTTTTATTTAAATGTACCATTTAAAAGAACTAGTTGGTTTCGCTTGTTTTCTGGAGTCTTCGGTTCCCCAGCCATACTTCATTATGTCCAAAGTCACAGATAATCTAATAAAAAAATCGAACCGCAGCTTTCTGATGGTCAAGTCATTTTGAAACAGACGACCTTAGCTTATCAGCACAACTTTGGCATAAGATGTATCCTTAAGAAATAAATTTATAACAGCACTTCCTGTATTCCCAGAAAACATACGTTGCTTAATTAACCTTGGATAAATAAAAGAGATGCCTGATCAATATATATATTTTATATTTTATATATATATATATATAAATATTATATATTAATATATTATATATATATTAAATAAATATATGTATTATATATAAAAATTAGTATTTAATATATATATATTATTAATAAATATATATATATATATATATATTATATATAATATATATATATAAAATATAATATATATAAATATTTATTTTATATATGTATATATAAAATATGTATATATATATATGTATATATATATGTATATAAAAATATATAATATAAGTAATATATATAATGTATAAATATATATATATGTATTATATATATATATGTATATATATATAGTATATATATATGTATATATATAATGTATATATATATAATATGTATATAATATAAATATATATGTAATATATGTATATATATAAATATATTATATATATGTATATATATATAAAAATATAATAATATATAAATAAATATAAAATATAAATATAAATATATATATATACATATAACATAATAGTAATAGTAAAATATATATGTATAAGTATACAATATCATAGATAACATGTAATATATAAATAAATATACTCGAAATATATATCATAATTAATATAATATATATAACCATAACAATACACACATACACACTGACACACACACATACACACCATACAAACAACACAATACACACACAACACACACACACACACACCAAAAATATGATCAACAATATATATTGACACATACATACACTCATACATAATACACACATACTCACACACACTCATACATACACACAACATCACACACAATCACACACACACACATACACACACACACAATACATACACCACATACATACACAAACATACATACACCATACAACACAAATACACAAAACATCACACACACACACAACACACCACACACACACACACTCACACACACACTACACATACACATACATATACCCATACACATACATAACATACACACAACACACATACAACATACTCACACACACACACACGTACCATCACTCACATACACACATACAACACACACATACACACACACACACACACACACACACACAAACTACATCAACACACATCACACATAACACACACACACAAACACCCCCGTCAAACCTTTTCCACCCCACAAAATACCCCCCACAAATCACCACCCAACATGCACCCCCCCCTCAAGACCGCATAACATACCGAACACCAACATCCCATTCTCGTGTCTCCATCCAACCACTGACAGCCTAAAAATGACTTATGCCATCTCTGGATCACGACCACCTGAATGTTAAACAGTATTGATGTGTTAGATTTTGGTAACAATTGATGTAGATATTTTTTTCATTATTATTCCGAGACATTATTGCTCACCTAGTAAAAGGCACTGTATATTTTATTCTTTCAAATATAAAAAAAAAAAAAACTTTTTTTTTAGCTTTTAGCAGAGTGAAAGAGGTCAATTTTACCTTACAAATAAATGTACCTTAAATGTGGGGGGAAATATATATCAGGTCAAACTTGAAGGTTAATTCAACGAGATACATAATTATTTTCAATATAATTCAGTAAAGCTTTTTAGTCAAGTATAGTTAGTGACATTTACGACAAAAACTAGACACTCGTAGAGGAAGGAAACTCAGACACTCATTGAGGAAACGAAGCCACACACTCGTAGAGGAACCGAAGCCACACACTCGTAGAGGAACCGAAGCCACACACTCGTAGAGGAACCGAAGCCACACACTCGTAGAGGAACCGAAGCCACACACTCGTAGAGGAACCGAAGCCACACACTCGTAGAGGAACCGAAGCCACACACTCGTAGAGAACCGAAGCCACACACACTCGTAGAGAACCGAAGCCACACACTCGTAGAGGAAACGAAGCCACACACTCGTAGAGGAACCGAAGCCACACACTCGTAGAGGAACCGAAGCCACACACTCGTAGAGGAACGTACAACCTACAAGGAACCTCGCATGTTGTCACATGTCGATCTACATCACCCCTGTGGGTTTGGCACTTCCCCTGCGGACCACAGTGTGCGGAGATCACTCGTGTACTCTTGCCACTGTACATTCATATTAACGGCCCATGTACACTTGCGGCAGATATACATCTATGTGCATTTACAGTATATGTGAGCGTACATATGTACACTTACAGTATATGTGAGCGTACATATGTACACTTACAGTATATGTGAGCGTACATATGTACACTTACAGTATATGTGAGCGTACATATGTACACTTACAGTATATGTGAGCGTATATATGTACACTTACAGTATATGTGAGCGTACATATGTACACTTACAGTATATGTGAGCGTATATATGTACACTTACAGTATATGTGAGCGTACATATGTACACTTACAGTATATGTGAGCGTACATATGTACACTTACAGTATATGTGAGCGTACATATGTACACTTACAGTATATGTGAGCTTATATAACCTTACAGTATATGTGAGCGTACATAGTAACATACAGTATGTGAGCAACCATGTACACTTATAGCTATTCGTATAGTACAATTTTGTGCGTACCTAGTACACTTACGGATTAGAAGTGTACTATTTACTTAGACATGTGTGTGGCACCTATGTACACTTAGGAATATGCGTACTTGTGTATATTGTTATGTACATATCGATAGGATAATGTACTAATTTGGTAATAAGTCTACATAATATACTGTATTCAGGGTAACATACTGTACTGAGTACTTCATTTCAAAAATATAATTAACGCCTTATCAACCTGTTAAACTCTCTCTTAGTGCTTTCTAATCTTTCCCTCTTATGTCTCTCTAGTCTGTTCTCCTCAGTCTCTCTCAGTCGTCCCTCGTACCTCTCAGTCTGTACTGTTGTCTGTGCCTCTAGTGCTTGTCTGATTCCTGAGTCTGTCGTCTTGTCTCTTAGTCTCTCCTCTTCTATACCTATCTGTACTTCGTCCTCTCTCTCTGACTCTGATCTTCTTCTCTCTATCTCTCTCGTCTCGTCTCTCTCATCTCTCTCCTGGAGTCTCTGACTCGATCTCTTCTACTTTGTCTCTTATCGCTTGTCTGGAGTGTATATCCTAAAGCTGTACGTTGGGCCTAGTGCATTCATCCTGGAGGTATGACCTGATCTGTACATGGTGGGCCAAGTGACTTGATCATGCAGTGTCATCGACTGAGTCAATGTACTTGTCATTAAGTGTCAACACTGTCAAATGTATTGACATACAGTGTCATCACTGTGACATGGTTATCTTGATCCATACAGTGTCAACACTGTCACAATGTTAACGTTGTTGCACTTACAGTTTGATCACTGGATGTACATGATCTGATCATACTGTCA